TCAATAAAGTTTTTTGTGGAAGTTTAAAATGTCTTAGAAACTACTCGATTTTTGAAATTCAAAAAATCCATGCTTATTTAACACTAAAAAAGTTTCACTTTCAACAAATTTCATGTAAATTAAATTATTTTTAAGCAAAAAAAAATAAAAACTGAAAAATTGGTTTTTCGCCATTTTCTCGGAAAATTTAAAGTTATGTTGAAAAACGTCATATATAGATTTGGATTTTTTCATTATCTACAATTTTTGTATTGAATACTTTTCGCTAGGAGCTTACGTTTCGCCGCAAAACGCAAAAAATCATTATCAACCCCTAAACTGCACCCCCTTTCTACTCCTTTCCAATATATCATGTTTAAAAGTTTTTGGTTCTTTTAGTTATATTCCTAACTACATGTTCCACCTGGTCCTTACCTGTTATTAATTTTTTTTCCAGCATTTAAAATCCGTTTTGGGACCAACCTAATAAGTAAATCGGACCTAATTGAATTTCTCGACTTTTTTTAAGCAACATTTTAAACTAGCTGGCTGCATATTAAAGCAATAGGTATACCAGTGTTATCTGCTGACACTTTCCAGTCCAACTGCCCGCAGTCATTTCTTGGTGAAAAACAAAATTGTATTGAGTTACCCTTCTCATTCATTCGCTATTAGCTATAAAAATGTTAGGTTTTGGATAAAAAAATATATTATATTTTCTTTTATACATATACAGTGTGTTCAAACAGTAACCTAAGATGACATGATTTAAGACTTGGCTTCACAATAAATAAACTTTCTTCAATGAATAACTAGTTGATTGAGGACGTGATTTTGAAAGTACATATGTATTCGCAGCACACGGCCAGCCAAATTTATGAAGATTAAATTCCTAACATGTCGAATATTTTCCACCTTATAAACTGACTTTTAGGTAGTGGGTGAGGTAGTGGGGTGTAACGGTTGGAACCGTTATTTCGACACAATCACCTCTTACTCAAATGTCATTTGTCGTCTTGTGAGATTTATTTTCAATTTGGTCGACAGTGACAACCAACTTGATTTAATTTTAATCCTATGAATTAAATGATACTTATTTATGTTATTGGCCGTCTGATTTTATAAGGTAAGTTTTAATAATTATATATTGTTGAAAATATATATTTTGTTCAAGGATTTTTTAAATAAATTGTCAAGTTTTGAACATAACCTCAACAATGAATAATACATGTTGGTTTTATATAAAATTATATATTATTTTTTTTGGAATAGGATATTATGCTTTACTATATTTAAATATATTAATTAAGATTTTTCCTTTTCCTAAGTAAGCCCAAAAGTGTGAATAAGCCATTTACTTTCTTCAGAGTTTTTGTCTTTATATATTTGACTTAACCCTAATGACTGAATTTTCCTGTACCACGCTTGATTAATTTTTAACCGACTTCAAAAAAGGAGGAGGTTATCAATTCGTTGCGATATTTTTTTTAACCGACTTCAAATACGGAGGAGATTATCAATTCGTCGCGATATTATTTTTTTTATGTATGTTCAACGATTATTCTTTAACACGGTGTCCGATTTCAATGATTCTTTTTTTGTTAGAAAGGGGGTATTTTTGGGGTGGTCCCATATAAATTTATTTAAAATCTAATAATTGAGTCCATGAGAAAATCATCAAACTCTTCATTTTTTTATGTATGTTTAGCGATAATGCTTTATCACCTTGTCCGATTTATATGATTCTTTTTTGTTAGTAAGGGGGTACCTCAGGGGTGGTCCCATATAAATTTAGTTAAGATGTGGTGATGGCATCTGCACGTTTTTGAAGTCGGTTTTTTTAAATTTTTAATTTCTAATACTTGTAGTCTCTGTGAAATTATTCATTTAATAGTTTTAAATTGTTCATTTAATAGTTGAAGCATTTTGTCTAGATCCTGTTCAAATGGGCGGATGTAATTTCGGCCGGAAAAAGGACAGGTACCTAAAGGGGATATGTAATTTCGGCCGGAGGTTTAAGGGTTCGTTCTTATCGTATAGGTATTTTCGGCCGGAAGGAGCAGATAAAATAAAATAAGATCTAGAATTGCTATAACATTCTTTATTAAACCAAAATCAAAGACACTATTACTTAAAAACTAGAGCTAAAAACATACATTACATTTTTACGAACTTTGATATGATACAGTTTTAACAAAATTAAATCTAGAAATTTTTCCAGACCGAAGCATATTTACCATATTTTCAATAAATTTTAATTTATTTCTGACTTGCTTGTCTTTTATTTTTGCTGTAATATTTAAACTTTTTATTTTTAAATATGAATCGATCTGGAATTCTTTTAACTTTTCTATAAAAATAAATATTGAAGGGTGGCAAGAATAAAATGAAGAATTCAATTTAGAATGGAACGATTCACAAGCGTTTATGGTTCGTTTTATAGATGGATTTTCGTCTGCCCAAATCGGAATCAAGTGCTATATAATATTGTAATAGATAGTCTGTGTATTTATCCAACAGTTCATTATTTGGTTTGCAAGACATTAAATCAAATATAAAACAATCCTCAACATCAGATGGTTTTAAATAAGTAAGCCCAAAAGTGTGAATAAGCCATTTACTTTCTTCAGAGTTTTTGTCTTTATATATTTGACTTAACCCTAATGACTGAATTTTCCTGTACCACGCTTGATGTAAGTGAAATCTACAACCATTTATTTTCGTTTTTGACAAAACATTTCTTAGTGCGATATGTATTGATATATCAAAATCTATGAATGCCTCCATCGGTTCAAAAACTATATTAAAAACTTCCAAAATTTTAGATTTAAGCAACAGAAAAAGTTTAATATATGTGTCAACAGTCTTATTTGGTAACAGACAATATAAAAAAAGTATATAGTGCCCATTTTCCAGGCCATGAATGGTAAATAATTGATAAAAATATTTCGTACAGAAAGAAAATGTGCCATCCATATATATAACATTCATTTTACACAACGTAGTAATATTTGTTTGGCAAGAAAAAACAATGATATTATCAACTGAACTGTAAATAAACAAAAAAAATTTACCTGTTGTCGTTTTAGGAGAATACATATCAACTACAGTATGTACTTCATGAATATCTTTAGGCAGGGCTGGCAAGAGCTGACGACGACTGTTATACACATTTGTTCTTATGAGATTTACATCCGCGGTAATCAATTCGTCCGGTAAATTTGTTGAAAGGACCCTTTTTATAATTTTCGAAGGTTTCTCCGATATGTCCTCCTGGGCTTTTCGCTTGCATGCAATTGTGACAATTTTTCTCTGCAAAGAACATTGATCTGGTTCATGATTGTAAGTTAACTCACTCCTGGTCACAATATATTCGGCACCAACAGTATACAATTTAGCTAAACATTTTAAATTTTTCCTGATGCACCTCCAACGTACTTCCCCACTCTTTAATATGTCTGGTTTACAAAATGAAAAGTTTTCTACAATAAGCAAGTCACAACCGCGTGAACTCTTTACTATCGAAACTGCCATCATGTAATATAGATGTTTTCTATCTCTTGGTCGCCCACAAAATAAGTGGTTAGTATCTTAATATTAAAAGGTCCGGTACTTTGTAATTAGGTAATCACATTGTTAAACTAATGAAAATCAAATTAAGAAAGATGAATGTAAATGTTTTAACTTTTCTAAGAAATGGAAATATGAAAAGGGTAGACTGTTATTTTCAGGTATCTTCCAAAATCCTATCATAAACATTGCCCTCGGCTGAAATTACCTATGCCATTAGATGGGCACTTTGCTTTTGGCAGGTAGGCGAGGGGAATACCGGCCGAAATTACGCCGGTTTAAATTTCCTATTTTCCTGTCTTAATATTTTAACCCTTTTTAGCATGGCTATATCTAGACGGTTTTGATTCAATCTGGCCAATTGTTTGATTCATCTCCAGATGTTTTATGGATTTAAACCTAGACGTTGTTTTGGTTCAATCTGAAGATAGTTGTTTGATTCATCTCTAGATGTTTTATGGATTTATACCTAGACAATTTCGAGTTCAAGTTTGAATACCATATATCACAAGATCATTCACGTTGCAGAATTACGAATAAGGATCCCGAATCCCTTTGTAGAAGTTGCCTGAGGATATACCATGCAATAACCTAGGTTTACATTCCGTATATTACCTTAACTTACCAAAAGATAAGTGCTTATTCAATAAATCATCTTAAATTAAATTTAGTAAAACTTATGTGAATTAGAATTTGATAGCTGCCTTATCTAAAGCATGGTTTAAATATTATTTGTTAGTGGTTATATTATATTTATATTTTTATCACTAATCTAGAGTCAAGTGTAGTAAGCTTTAAATATAGTGGTGCCCAACTTCTTTTTCAAAGTTATTTGAGTTATTAACCGACTTCAAAAAAGGAGGAGGTTATCAATTCTTAGCGATATTTTTTTTTGTATATATGTTCAGCGATAATTCTTTAACACGGTGTCCGATTTCAATAATTCTTTTTTTGTTAGAAAGGGGTTACTTCAGGGGTGGTTCCATATAAATTTAGTCAAAATCTAATAATTGAGTTCATGAGAAAATCCTCAAACTCTTCATTTTTCATGTATGTTTAGCGATAATGCTTTACCACTTTGTCCGATTTATATAATTCTTTTTTTGTTAGTAACGGGGTACCTCAGGGGTGGTCCCATATAAATTTGGTTAAGATGTAGTGATGGCATCTGTACGTTTTTGAAGTCGGTTTTTTTAAATTTTTAATTTCTAATACTTGTTTAATAACATAACCCACGCCCTATAAATTGAGCTAAAACAAATATAACAAATAGATAAAATAACTAGATATCACGTCACAAACTTCTAAATAGAGGAAAATGTTCTACAGTCAAAAGATTTTTGAAAAATTTGCCTAAATGGGATTAACAAAAAACCTCAGCAATTTTTCGAGATGATCGAAAGAATTAATGGAAAAAATCACGTTTGTACTAAAAATAAAAACATACTTACTGATCTTATTATACGCGACAAACCTCCATTCCCGTGTATTCCTTTTAGCGCTCTTGGCGTTATCCATTGAGCCCTTCATTTTATCCCGATACCGCGATGTTCTTAACGTCTGACTCGTAAAATTCTCGAAAAGATTACGATGTAAGTATATCTCATGGTAATAATAAAAAAAAACAGTATCCGTAATTGGACGTAAAACCGATATATTCGTTTCACGATTTTATATTTAGTGTCCAATAAAATAGGAGAAAATTATAGGGACTTTCCTTTATATTTACTGGCAGTTTAGACATACTAAAACAGAGTGTTATATCTGCCAGTTGTTAAGTTACAATGCCGTATTTGGGTACACTTTGTTCAATTATTTATAGCGTTAATCTACAGGGTGTTCCAGTTTTCACAAAACAAAAAAAATAGAAAAATACTGCATTTTTAACAGGAAAAATAAATATTGTAATAATTTAGGTACGGCACAGTTCATCAACCAACATATCTATTCAAGTTCTGCAATCTGTCTGCCATTGGCCAAAGTGGCAGTTTCACTTATAAGTTAGAAGTCGACTGTGATAGCAGTTCAATTGCAAAATAGGGGCTAATACTACTGCGATGTCCTGTTTCACAGAATCGGTTAAATATAGATTTCTTCAAAGTGGCGCCAATTAAATAGACAGTGAGCATTTTTGAAACAATTTAACTATTATTAAAAAAACTATTAAAGAAAAATGTAATATTTAAACGAACATATAGAAAGAAAAAGTAAATAGACTCAAATGTAGAATGTAGACAAGCTTCTCATTATCAAAGTTTCATGTCATCTGTCAACGTTAACTGTCAATGTCAAATACGTCATCTCAACTCACCTCTGTGATACTAATCTCTCCCATGTTTCAATGTTTTATTTTTATTTTCGTCGAATGCCATTTGCCATTTTTAATGGAACTTTTCGTATGCCCCCTCCCCATATATACCTATGTTTACGTAAACGTACGCCATTTCAGGCGCTTCTTTCTTATTTACAATGTTTTATAAAAATTGCCAAAATGTTGTTACACAAGGCGTTTGAAAGTTAGTAAATGAATTAACCATTCTCTTCCGAATATAGTCCTGCAGATATATTTTTTAATAAAATTCCGGTAATTACATTAAGAAAATACAAAAAGTGAACGGTTACATTTAAATTATTTCTCAAATTGACAAGAGAATGTTTTTTCTGAAATTTTATATTTAGATTTACTTATAGTATTTTTTCCTTGTAATTATTAATGTGGACCACCCTGTAAAATACTTCTGTTATTATGCAACTTACCGTTTTTAAAACGTTCATTCATTGATTACAACCTTTTCTGTCGTAAATCAGTTTTATTTATGGCACATAAACATCCTAATCAGTTATAAATTAATTAATTATACCACCTGCTATTTTTCCATTAGTTATAAAGTTTCGTATATACAGGATGTCAAATACAATAGCTCAGGTTATTCAATTTAATTGAAGGGATGCCGATTTTTAATAGATTTTTGACTAGTACTACAAGTAAAGGAGCAGCAAGAGTTCCAGAACAAGACCCATGTTAAATCCCATAAGAAGGTTTATTCTGCCAAATTTTATCACGCGTCGAGGATCTTGTCAGTAACTAACTTCTCGGGTCACCAGCGGGGGAGCGGAGAAGTGGAGGGAGTGGAGGAATAGAAAAATCATGTCAGAAGGACCTAAGCTTGTATCTTTGTTATTACTAGTTCGATTCAAACGGGAAAAACGGCACTATGTAGAGAACTCGAAAGGATCTTGGACACCAATGCTTTTTAAATGGAAAACATGTAGTTCACTTTGAACAGTAGAGTGCTGGTGTGGACATTTAAGTAAAGGTTGGACAAATATTGCTAATAATTTAAATGGGGGAAAGTTATTTGTAATAAGTCAACATTAGACAATGAAAATAAAATATATTTTTTTTTTCAAAATTATATTTTTAAAGTAACAGTATTAAGTATTTGCAGTAACTTAATGAGTTTCAAAATTGTGTCTCTTTAAAGCTCAGTTTTTTTATTTAGCCCCTTTTTAGTAAACTTGTAATTAGTTTCTTTTTCTTAATTTGTTTTTCTTTCTAATATCTCCTTATTTCCATTCCCCGTTCTGTTTTATAAAATTGTCTTCGTTTCTCGTTAGCTTCTTTCCTCCGCCTTATTCCTTCGGCACCTCTATCACATCTACATGTGGATTTATCATGAAGTTCTTTTTCCGATGTGTATTTTTCTAAGTCTTTAACACCTTTGGATGCTAATTCTGAAATTTCTGTGCGTACTAAGCAACACTGTTTTCCTCGGGAATGTAACCAACTTTGTTTGAATACTCTTCTATCGTAATGAGAATGAGGTGTACCTCTAAGACTATCTCCATCCCTTCTAAGCGGCTTTTGTCCATCAGCACAGGTGATGTATCTGAGGACACCAACAGCATGGTCCAAGCAAATTATTTTCTTGAAAGTTGTTTTAGAATGGAGTCGTGTACCAGTGCGCTGTAGTTTTGTCTTGTACGCTAACATTGTAAATCCATTAGTAAAATGTATTAAAGCGTGAAGATGTTTATGTGCTGTACTACCATTATCTGCTATTAGATGACATCGACAAATAGAATACCATTTAATATTTGGAGCACAAACAAGTAAATTAAATTCCTTTTCATTTAATATTAAGTGATACTATTCTTTGGACAATTCTTCGTAATCTTGTGCCATTTCCTGTGGCGACAAAGCGTTAATTTCATTTAGATTCAAGAGAGTCAAATAATCAGTTTTTGACAATGAAGACATTTTTTTGTTATTTTTAGAGAAGCTACTTGTAGAAAATGTCTTAGTAGACTAGAAGAGTCTTTAATGTCTCCATACCTTAAACAAATAATTCATTACCCCCACCTTCAAGATTTTTGCGCATGTGCAGTAGTACAAACGGACGTGATGTAAGCGTCGTTGCAACATGCGTTCACTTGAACGAAGGTTAGGTTAGGAGGGCATACGAGAAGTTCTCTTTGTTTAATCTGACCAACAATAACAAAGCTATAAGTTTTAGGTTCTTTTTGTCCGTCACTGTGCATGATTTTTCTATTCGACATTAATCTATACCGAGTTATCTACATAATGTCGTTTTTCCCGTTTGAATCGGACCAGTAATATCCAAGAAACACGCTAAGGCCCTTCTGGATTTTCGTTCTTGGTATGATTTTTCTATTCGACATTAATCTATACCGAGTTATCTACATAATGCCGTTAATCCCGTTTGAATCGGACCAGTAATGTCCGAGACATACGGTAAGGCCCTTCTGGCGTTTCGTTATTCGCATGATTTTTCTATTCGACGTTAATCTATACCGAGTTATCTACATAATGCCGTTATTCCCGTTTGAATCGGATCAGTAATGTCCGAGAAATACGGTAAGGCCCTTCTGGCGTTTCGTTCTGCACATGATTTTTCTATTCGACGTTAATCTATACTGCGTTCTCTACATAATGCCGTTTTTCCCGTTTGAATCTGACCAACAATAAGAAAGATATAAGTTTTAGGCCCTTCTGGCTTTCGTTCTCCGCATGATTTTTCTGTTCAACGTTAACAGAAATTTAATCCCTCCACTCCTCTGTTTTACCCTTACTCTGTCTCACTCTTACCCATTGAATCTGTACCTCTCACTCTTATACATTAAATTCCCTATGTGAGGCCATGGTAACTTAGTTTATCTACTATTACATCGGATGTAAACGAAATATTTGTACATCGGATATATCCTCAATATTTATACAACATAATTCTAACCTAATTTTAATTCAGTGAAAGACTTAAGTATTTTTCTGTTGGTCCTTTCAAGCAAATGGGTGTTTCATAAATTCATTTTGTATCTTTTAATGGAAAATGTTGGCAAAGAATCAACGACTTCTCGTAAGCCGCCACCAGAAAATTTCAACCTATACCTGGCTACGCCGACTGGCATAGACACCAACGGCCTGGACACGGCTAAAATTGTTGTATGTTTACGAAACGAATAAAAAAGTTCATTAATTACCATTCATAAAATCAAATAATTATGTATTGGGAATTAAAATGATAAAAGGCAAAGACCAAAAACAAACACATTGGGAATTCAAGGTTATTTTTATTATAGTTTAAATGTCAAACCCAAAACTCTACCCCGATGTACTGCTATTCACTATCACAGAACTAAAATTAGGAGAAAGGATTTGACAGTTTACAAAAACGTTCCTATAAGGGGAATAAAATTGAGGTTTTTTGAGTTTGCGCAGTAGGTGCCAAACAAGGTCATAATTTGAAAAAATATATATAACAATGTTTTCAGAAAAAAATTAACAGAGAGTTGTACAATACGCGGTTAATCGTCCCAAAAATTGTTTTTAAATGAACAAAATTAACATTAATTTTCAAATCACTTTCACGAATGACAATTGACATGTCTCACAGATACTCACTGCGCAAACTCAAACCTCAATTTTGAATCTCCTTAACGGAACGTAAATTTTGAGCAAGAATTGATATCAAATCCATTCTTCTAATTTCAGTTCTGTGCTCACTATCTTCTTAAAAACATCGATTATTTGGTTTCATTAAATCAATGATTGAAATCGATTACTTAACCTTCGTTTTTTATTAGCAAGCATTACTCACTATTTTGAGGCCATTTTAACCAAAATAGATGAACGCTCTCCAATAGGCGTTGCTAATGTCCAAGTGAAAACTACAGAGTAAGTAATAGTTGCGAACAGGAAACTAATAATATCAACGTAGCCAGTCAGTAGCTTGGGGATATTTCTTGCTGTGTACCTATTCACATCGAACTCACACGACCACGTTGATATTATTAGTTTCCTACTCGTACTAATGCTCCATGTAGTTTTTACGTCGACATTTGAAAACAATGGAGAGCTGCCGAAGGCTGCATTAGCAAAGCGTATTGGAAAGTGTTATTTTTTGTTAGATATTATCATCCGCTACCATTCTAAAAACTAATTCTGTATAATAAATAAAAATAACAATAAAAGCAGAATTTACTTTATTGATCTTTAATTAATATTAATTTATTATACACAGATCTCAAGATCATGCTTTTGTAAAACATTTTTTTATTGTTTTAATGAATCCTAACTCTGATGTAGATAGTTGCTACTAACTTTATTAAATTAATATCGAGGCAGTTTAACGCATAATTGTCTTTAAAGTGATTATCCAGTTTACAGAATATATTTCTATTCAGTAACATATACAGTAACGTTTTCTAATTCGCTTCGTACAAGTGCATGTAAAAAACTACAGAGAGTTAGTAGTA